GGGGTAAATCGGTAGAATAAAGAAAACAAGACGTCTCTTTCTATCGGGAAATGGTAGAAGTTTGCAAATTTCTAATCACAAAAAAGACAGGGAATGTCGATACAACGTACCAATGACGGGACCCGTACATCAGTTGAGAACCTTTGGTCTTGAACAATTCGAATCCTTTCAATAAACTTTGAAATTTCTTCGATAATTGCTTCTTCATGTTTTACAATAACAGCAAATTGGAAAACAAAATTGGAAAAATATATTCTCCTATTCCGGGAAAAACTATTTAAATCATGTAGCACACTTTGATGATGTTTTCCCTTGTATTTTTCTTTTTTATTTAGTAGTAAATAAACTAATATCAGATAAATACAATAAAAAAAATAATAAAATATTTTAATTTACAGATCACGATAGGTATTACGGAGATGTAATTAAATATAATTTAATTTTTAAACAATTATTTAGTATTATTGTTTAGATAAGCATTATAACAAAAATAGTTATATTGTGGAAAAAGGACTTTTCGACAATATACTCATTTTTTATGTATTTAACGTTATTTTTTTTTAACTTTATCAAAAACGACATTCTTGTACATTTAGTTATGGATAATATTATGCATTAATTACTAATTTTTTTAATTAACAAGTATTTGTGCTCAGTTGTTGACATTAACAGCTATCTGCTTATGTGTTAAAATTCTAGAATAATACAATAATAAAAATTTAAATTTACATCTCTCTAATAGATTTCATAATCTGTTAACTCATATTTGGAGGAAGAAGACATGGTTTGATGTTTTTCCCATTTATACGATTTTCCATGCTCACCTTCTACATTATGTGCACCAGAAATTTCAACTATCTCTTCTTGATGTTAACATATTGCAACAACGATTAGGGAGATACAATTAAATATATTTTTATCCTTAAAAAAATTATTCAGTATTATTATTGTTTAGATTATAAGAATTATAACATGGCAAAAATAGATATATTGTGGAAAAAGGAATTTTCGAGAATATACTCATTTTTTACGTATTTATGATTATTTTTTTAACTTTTATAAAAACAACATTCTTGTACATTTAGTTATGGATAATATTACACATTAACTACTAATTTTTTTTAGTTAATAATTATTTGTGCTCAGTTTTTGACATCAATAGCTCTCTGCTGATGTGTTAAAATTTTGGAATATTACAGTAATAAAAATTTAAATTTCATCTCTCTGATAGATGTCGCGATCTTTAAATAGCTGAACATTCTAGCTTCATAAAATGTATCTTAACCCTTTCCCCGCCAATTATTTTGAGAAAAACGTTTCATCTTCAGACGAAGTTTTTTATTTGTTTTTCTAGTAACCTAGAAACAGAGGCACCTTGAAATACCTGAACAGTGGATAATATCTCTACTAGACGTATGGTGATTTTCCAAGCGTAGCTTAGATGTAGCACAAGGCCGAAAGTATTGGGCACCCAGTAAGGATGGAATTCACCATTTAGTCGTAGTTGATTTAGAAGACAAGCTTGCTAGCAATTACACTGTAGCGACTGCTACGCTTTCCACGCCCACAATTTATTCGTCTGCGATTGGCTAGTAAATCGATACTGCCTTTCCATAAGACAATTTAGCAATCGCAGTCACCACTTTGAATTTTCTCTGCCATGAACTTGCTTACATGTTCTTTGTTACAAAATCAGTAATTGGTCGAATTTTAGCCAATCAAACATTTTTGTGTTAAATCAGTTTTTCCCGCGCTGTCGCCTGGAGCCTACCGGCAGCCTTAAAAACATGTGGTTTGTTTTCCACGACCTTCAGTAGAGTCCAGCTATTACGCCTGTCTACACAGATCCACGACTTTACTCACAACGTACACACAGACACAGATTTTTGTATTACATTACACATTCTTCCTCTCTGTGACTAAGCCAAGTTCATGAACCAGAACTCTTTCTTACTTACTCAAAACAACACACTTCTAAATTAACTGTATTCTATTCTAACACCAGACTCTATTCAACATAGAATCCTGAACATTTTTATTCAAGGGAAATTCTTTTGAACATTAAGTCTTATTCGGAATACAGTGGAAAGGAAACAACTTTTTTCTCCCTTAATTACGACACACCATTCATGATTGCTTTGTATGTTAATGTTTCAATATATATTTTATTGTTGATGCAAATTGGAGTCTCGTTGTTTTTTCTCTTGAATCATTAAATGTATAGTAGATGAATGCTTTTAGGACACGCAATTACATTTGATAACCTCAACGCATAAACTCAAGCAACATCACAACACCACGTCGAAGTTTCTAAATTATTTTCTAAGCGTAGCTTAGATGTGTCACAAGGTCGAATGTATGGAGGGCACCCGGTGTTAGACATTTTCATGACGGTAGTCTTCGAGTATAGAATCCAGAGGTTGGCAGTGAATATTTCGGAGACGGTAGGAAAGCGTAGTACAGGTTCGCAGTGGATATCGCAGCAAAGTAGCAGAGCGTAGTTCTTCCGTCTGTCATGTTCGCCGGACAAATTGCCTCTGGCCCTTCCGGTGGGAAAACAAAGATGGCCGCCTTTATACACGACGGATCCAGTGTTCTGCGGCTCCTGATTGGTTAATCTTCTATTGGTAGACTATAAAGGGAATTAAGTCACTTTGACTCGCTCACTAGTTACATATAATATACACGAAAAACCGTAACACCCGGAGAGGATCAAACTCACTACTCATTCGTAATTAGATCTAGCGAGACAAGCTTGCTAACCATTACACCACCCATGTTGAAGTGCCTAATCTCTGCCAGACGTATAAGTCGACAATTGGAGTCGTTTCAAGCTCAGAAGGGCATCAAAAAAATCAAGATCGACGTATGGTGATTTCCCAAGCGTAGCTTAGATGTGGCACAAGGCCGAAAACAGGGGACACCCAGTGAGTATCAAACTCACTACTTAGTTGTGATTGTCCTAGCGAGACAAGCTTGCTAACCATTGCACCGCCTCGAGATGCTCAAATGATTTTCTAAGCTAGCTTAGATGTGGCACAAGGCCAAAAGTATTAGGCACCCAGTGAGGATCGAACTCAGTCGTGATTGTTCTAGGAAGACAAGCTTGCTAACCATTACGCCGCCTCGAGGTGCCCTGATTTTCCGAGCGTAGAATAGATGTAGCCACAAGGCCGAAAGTATGAGGCACCCAGTGAGAATCAAACTCACTACTCAGTCGTGATGGTTCTAGCAGGACAAGCTTGCTAACCATTACACCACCCATTTTTAAGTGCCTAATCTCTACCAGACGTATAAGTCGACAATTGGACTCGTTTCAAGTTCAGGCATAAAAAAAGAATCAAGATCGACGAATAAACACGTCTGTGGCAAGTCTTTTAACGCTGTTTTGGACGTTTTTATTCGCCCGTGTCTGAAGAAGATACTTTAGGTAAAAACGTATATACGCGTCTACGCCGGGGAAAGGGTTAAACGAACTCAATGAAATTATTTAAATTAATGATATAATTTCTTTCCAAGCTATGTCGAGAAAAATATGGAATAACCCAATGTTGAGTAAGAAAATGGTTCTTGCAATTGGCATTCCTAAAAGAAATACCAGCGGAAGATTACATATGCAAATTAGTTAGCAGTTAAAAGAGAGATTCTTGTAAACTTTAACAAGCGGTTCAGCATACCTAATTGTAAGAAAACATGGCTCCAAGAATAGAACTGTCAATTGAAACAATGGAAAGGTTTATAAAACTTCATTTAATAAGGCAATCCACAGAGGGGTGTAGTAAAAAACGTTGGTTTTTCCCAATGCAAATATAAAATAAATAAGTGGTTTTAAAAACGGAGAACATATCACGAAATAGGCCACGAAAGACATCAAAGCGTCAAGGCAATAAAACTCAAAGCAATATGATTTGAAAGTAAATAATTTACTATCAAACAATGAAAAATAAATGGGTCAAGACAGGAGTGAATGTTTATAACAGAATTACAAGAAATCAGCCGAAAGAAATGGTATTTACCTACAGAAAAGCCAAACAACAACAGAGACAAAGGAAAATAGGTTTAAAGTGGGTTAAAGAGAAACAAACATGGCATGTGGATGATTAGATGAAAGAGATGATGAATCAAGAATCTGAATTTGTCATGGCGACAAACCTTACTCTGGTGCCGTTCAAACGAAACATCTAAAGATAACTTCCTGACAAAAAAAAACACATAAATATACCAATTCATTCATGATATGGGATTCCATGCCATTTAAAGAAAAGGAAAGATGGCAACCATTGCCTCAACAATGCACATAATTTTCGCGAAGGATTTTACCTGAAATCTAGAGAACTCGAAAACAGCTCATTGCTAATTACATGCAAAAATAACGTCCTATTTCTGTTAATAGGAAAAAATGGATCCTTTACGAGATTTGGACGAAAAAAATGGTTCTTTCTTTAAGATGAGCAGTTTTACCATAAAAAAAAATTTCATATGGTATCACGTGACACTTTTGAACAACGCAGGAAAATATTAACGTTTGAAAAACGAGTTTATCTAATATCACAAATATATGAAAATAAACAAAACAACAAACAGTTTATTTAATGAAGAAATTTACTGCCATCAAAATATCTCCTATTCAATTTCCATGCAAATAGCGTTCATCTGATACGAAATGACGACATTTTCCCGCCTCTTTTCGTTCTCGCACTAAGAATTACAATCAAGCAGAAAGAGTCATTCATATTTCTTGGCTGTTTGAAGTACATGAGAGACGAAGAGGCAACTATTATTCTCGGTAAACCAACTGATTAATGAAAAGCCACGCTTTGTAAACTCTTTTCTTCCTATCTCTGCCTATTGCGTCTTCCTTGATCCTTCTCTCTCTCTCTCTCTCTCTCTCTCTCTCTCTCTCTCTCTCTCTGTCGTCTTTATATCTTGGTACGTCCGGCCATCTTTCTTCATCGCCTACCTTCATACTGACTTCACACGAAAATTCGTTAATCTGCTTGTCAGTTATCCATTCTGCTGCCGATCTTTGGTGTCGGGTGCCGGGGAAAATCTGGCAGGTTGAAGGTGGAAAAAGGAAGGAAGGAAAAGAAAGAGAAAATTGGTATATCATTGAATGTTGGAAGTGATGCTGCAATACTCAGGATTAGACTTCAGCGCTCAAAAGAGTCTTGAAGGTATAATTATGTGTGTGTGTGTGTGTGTGTGTGTGTGTGTGTGTGTGTGTGTGTGTGTGTGTGTGTGTGTGTGTTCTGTAAATGGCGGCTAAGACTGACGTTTTGTAAGGTTGGGTGACATTGATCAAGGTGCCATGATTTTCTATTCATCGCCTAACGTTTACATGTGTAGTTATATAGCGGGTAATAATTCCACCTGGTTTAGATAGATAGATAGATAGATAGATAGATAGATAGATAGATAGATAGATAGATAGATAGATAGATGTGAACAGAATGAGATAGATAGATAGATAGATAGATAGATAGATAGATAGATGGAAACTGACATAGAAAAATGGATATATAGAGAGACAAGCAGATACGATAGATGAATATAAATTTACGAAGAAATATAGGTAGATAAATAGACATACAGAAAAGCAGGTATGAATATATATATATATATATAGAGAGAGAGAGAGAGAGAGAGAGAGAGAGAGAGATGAATAGATTGTGATAGATGACTGACAAAATATGTATACATAGCAAACTGATATGATAGATATGAAATTACTAAGAAATATAGGTAGATAAATAGACATACAGGCAGATAGATAGATAGATAGATAGATAGATAGATAGATGAATAGGAA